AGGTTCCTGGGTTTACTGTGTGCCTGCCCACCCATCCATCTGTCTTTTTGCAGCATAATTGTGATCTGTAGTACCTGATCTGATAAAAAGTGACTTTGAAGCAATATTCTGCCTACAGTGTTTTTATATTCATTAGGTGAAAGGGAAATTGATTTATTCCCTCTTTGTACTGGAAACATAGTAGGTAGTGCTGATATAACTCCAATGAGTAGATTGACTGCCACATAATTGAGTTGATATGAATGTAAGTATTAGCCTAGATACCTCTCGGACATTTGTAACCTGAAAAATCATCTAGAGAATCTTGGGTAGGTGCTTACCGAAACAGGACTGTAAACTTTCATATTGGTGTGTTATTGTTAACACAGCTCACAGAGTTACCTTCTCGTATCTGCTTTTGGAGCTACCACCTACTGTGAATTTTTTGTTGTAAAAGAAGTTGCTATACGAGTAGAAGTGATAATATCCAGTGTTTGATTTCAGTTCCTTTTTAACACAGGTAGAAGCTTGTCCCACTTTCATGTGGTTATCATTGTTTATTTAATGATATGTTTCCTTGATGTAAACCTTAAGGGTGAAATCAAAGGCAGTTACACTTGCTGTAATTTTATAACGCAAATCCACAAAATCACCTTCTAGTTACAAATGCCAGCCTGCAGAAAACCCCCTCACACTTTCTTCTCCTCGGCATGTGCTTGTCAACACACACATTCTGTACAATGCCATAAGACACTTTTAGTTAACATGTGCATGCAACCAGAATAGATTGAAGGCATGTACTGATTTTTTTAAAGAGAGTACAGACTAAACAATCGGGAATTTAAGGCATGTTAGAAACGGGGAGGGAAAGTCATTGTGCTCATTTATTCAGTTTTAAAATGAAACAGAAAATACGACATAGCTTTCTCGTTGACAGTCAGAAATGGATCTTTTGAAATAGTAAGCATACAAAAAAGAATGGCATTTAGGAATATGAGAAGAACACTCATCTGAAGAATGGGACCAGGTTACTAAACCCACAAAATATATAGTATTTGCATTTGTATCATTAAAGTTCCAGCTGTCAGCTGCTTACTTTGTGTGATCTAAAACTTCATTAGGGTGTTGCTGCTCTGGCCCCTAAGAATCTGGCCTTTATGTTCTTATCAATGTCTATGTAATTCCCATTGCATGGGATGCAATTTACAGACTTGTAATAGATGACAACGCTGTCATGCAGTCAGAATTCTGATTTAACTAGCTACATGAATAGTACAGCAGAGCTAGATAACCTTGTTGGGATCCTGCAACATGCTCTGCTTTCCATGCAGTATGTTAAGCATTCTCACATCAGTTCACAGGTGTTCTAAAGAGCACTGAGGAAATGTGTACTGAAAGGTTGGCAATTGGTATTTTGAGTCCTTATTCTTAAAATGAATTCTGATAGACACTAGAAACTAGTGTTCTGCATTGTCTTATTTAGCAAGCCTAAAGAAACCTCTGTTAAGTTCTACTACTGCTGCCAGATGAAATGACCAAACAAAAACTAAACAAATAGCAGAAGTCAGGATCATCTTCCATAAACCCCTGGCCCATGCTCTGTCCCTTAAAATGTAAGTTTAGTTCTTGGTAAGCATACAGATGGAGATTTGTTTTTGTCAAGTTGCTGTTCAGACTCCTAGTAATCATATGCAGGTTGGTAAAATTGCCCTTTTCCACATGCATCCGACATGTAAACTGAGTCATACTAGGCTGTGAGGATGGGAGCTGATGCTTCCCAGCTGCTGGGCCAGACAAAGCATTTCACGGCAGTTTCCTAAAGAACGTTCTGTCCTGTCTCCTGCATTCCCCGCACTTTTCTCTCCAGATCAATCTTCTTCCCTCCCTGCTTTCTCCCCCCTCAAAGCGCGCAGTCAGGCAGTGTTGCCTAACATTGTATTCCCCTGTTGCTGACCCAGCCTAGACATGACATCAGTACTGGGATGGGGTATGTCAGCTTCCTCATGGCAGAAGGGAGCATAAAGTAGGAGAAACTGAGCTGAATAGTTCTCAGGGGATGAAAGGGGTGTATTACAAGTTGCATACTTTGAATAAGCAGAATGGAATCCCTTAGAACAGGCAGATGCGTATTAGGTTTTTATCACTTAGAAGCAGTTCATTCCAAGTCAGGGAAGCTAAACCAAGTTTAAGAGATAATATGAACGGCAGGGCAAAAGCAGACCAATCAAGCAAGTCAAATTAATTTAAAAAGGTCCAGCTGGAAGTGATTTGGTCTCAGAAAAATGAGGCCAGCAGCTAATGCAGAATAAAGCAAACCGCTTTCATAGACAAAAAGCATATCCAAGGGCTGTTACTTTAGTGCAGCTGATGTGCTTAAGAGTCACATCTTAATGTGTCTTTGACAACTTGCAGCTTTATATCGCCTGGCTATATGTAGCCTGAAGGCCAGCAGTCAAGAAAGAGGTGCAGAACTAGGATCATTATGTGTTAGTTGTTTTTTGCCCTGCCTTAAGGGTTAGCAAACATAGCATTAGGATAGCAATGTTCTGAAGTCCCGGCTTTTAACCCCTGTGCTTAGGGAGTTTTCAAAAGGCCCATCAAACTGCTGTTGGAACTACTTTAAGCCATCTGACCAGCATAATGAGTACCTGGCCTAGTACCCTTCTGTTCTGCACCCCTAAAAGTGATGAGATGGTGTATTTTTTCTGTCTCATTCACAGACAGCGAGATGGAGTGGTTTATGGTTTCTTCCCTTTGCCCCCTATCTATCTTTGCCAGCTGCCATTGCTGAGGTTTGGATTTCAGAGTTCAGAGATTCAGGTGTTAAATGAAACAGCCTGAAACTTCTGTAAGCTAACATTGATTTTTAAAAAGCAAAAAGTGAATGTTTTGGAAGACAGAGGCATAATTAGTATTGAGAGTTACATAACTTGAAAAACCACGTTCAAGGTTGCAGTTCAGTCAGGTAAGAGAAGCTACAACAATCATCAGAGATCCTTTTAATCGTACCAGCAATCGTCCACTATACACAATATAGCAAAACATACAGGGTCAACAGGTTATCAGGGATATTGACTCTAGTTAAGAGAGCATGAAAAATTCAGAGTCCCACACCTACCTATACTTCTGAAAAGCAAACAGGCAACTACAGATTCACCTAATGTAGGTAAGATTTAATGCAGGATCATTGATCGCTCAGAGATTTTGATGTCAAAAGACCACTGAGTTATGAAGCCTCTGTCTATAGTTTTGTGGCTATTAGACTGGTATTTGATTTCATCAGCAGAGAAAAAAGTACGACTCCTGTTCCAGCTGAATGGTACTGAGTGAGCAGCTGGGGTTGCATGGACATCTTTTATTGTTTTGTCCTTTAGATGTGTGTAATATGCAAAATGCTAGAAATAACTTAATTACATTTCATTTAAAAGTTGAAAAGATCCACCTGAAATGTAAGTTTAGCCAAGGCCACAAATTCACATGAGTTTTAAATATACATAATATCTTACCATGTCAAAGCATCTCAAGGCTTTTAATAGAAGATTTCCAATATCACTGTTAATGAAAACAAGCAAGTCTTTGGTTTGAGAGGCAACAGCCAAAATATTCAGCAACAAAAACAAGTAGCACAGACAGAATGTCCAGAAATAAGAATGAAACAAGGTCAATAAAGAGTACCTAAGGCACCTTGTTTATAGTCATCTTTGCTACACTCCTTAAGACCTCCAAATAACGTATAAAATTGCAAATGCTAGGGAATGTGAAGATGAAACAGCTGAGGACAAAATAAGTTACTCTTATTCCTAGTTAAAATTGCCATGATCAGAGGATGTGAATAAATGCATTTTCCCACAATAGTGAAGAGAAGAATCAGAGCTAGGAAAATGAATGGAGGAACCAGTACCATTAAGAGTAAACTCATTTGATATTCATGAATTGCAGTCTTGGCCGGACACCAAGACGTGGATATTTTCTTTAATGTCTACTTCATGTCTCAGTCTCAAGTACCACAGAAGGTGGAAACCACCCTTTAGTCAAAATTAAAATAGGGGAGTGCAGTCTGCGCTTGCTTCAGGAATATGCACTGGACAGCAGGAAGTGCAAAACTGTCCTTGCAAAAACAACATGCAAAGGGGAATTTTGAAGAGGGTGGGAATTTAGTTTATTCGACTGCTTTAATTGCTTAGCTGAGATTTCCATCAAATGCAGTCTGTAGGTGACAGGTAATATAAGCTACATCTCAGGACAGACTGGATAAGTCTTGTTCTGGCCACTCCTTCCTGCAAATCAATACCAGTTAAAAAAGGGGGGGGTAGGGGAAAAAAACCCGTTACTTTGCACTAGATGGTTTGTGAGACTGAGTCAGCTGTATTGAGTATAAGAACAGCTCCCTGTTCTTACACTAGGAAGAAGAGAGCTTTAATTCTAAGCTCTAGAACGTAAGTGGCTTACTACATGTTTGCTGAAGTGGGTGCAAGATGGTGAGTTTCCAAATTTGTGTTCCCTCCCTGCTGCTAGCTAGGGGGAGATTCAGCCCTTTGCCTACTCTTCAAGACAAAAAACATAAAGAAAACCCCTCTATCCATCTCAGTCTCTGGCCTGTTTGAATAGCAGTTCATCCATACACACCTCTAAAGGTTTCAGAACACCATGAGAGATTGGAATCGCCAAGACATCTGTGGGTTTCCAGATGTACACAGCAGAACAGGAAGTCGGGTTAGCTGAATGCTTCAGGGGGGATATAAAGACTTTACATTTTTTCACATAGTTTTGGGAATATGGAACTAAACTCTGCAATAGCCAGAAGCCTGGTTACATTTTAATGCATATTGGTTAAAAACTGTACAACAGCATTTAGTGTTCATGAAGATGATTGTTACCCTTTTGGCATTTTTAGGAAAGCACGCCGAGCTTTAGAGTAAGACTCTACTGTCTTTCAGTACCTAGGTTTTGTGCTCACCAAGTACAAAAGAACCACAGACATTTTCCTCATTGTCTGCTTTTACCTTGTGTTCTCCCCTCAGGTATGGCCCATTTCCTGTTCCTTCGGAGCTACCTTTGGCTATGTGGCTGGTCTGATTATTGCACCTCTGTGGATACACTGGAATCGGAAGCAGCTTACATACAAAAGCAGATAACTGGAGCAAAGAGAGACAAGGTATTTCTTTGTGCAGATCCCATACAGACTGTGCAAAAATTGGGGGGGGGGGTGTGTTTATAAGATATATATATTTATGTATAGTCAAAGCAGAAGACTGTCCAAATTCATTTAGAGTATTTCAGGCCAAGCATCTCCACTCGATAAAATCACATAGACGCCATTTCAGCATGGTGCAGTTTTTGCTTCCTCTAGACTATGTAACCCTGAGAGATTGTACCTTCCAGTCTGAATAAAATACTTGTAACAGATACGGTGGCTTCTTATTACAAGTTTGTTGAGTCTGATTTTATTCCTCTGGATTTCACTAGTTGTAGAAGGCAGAACCATCGTTTTAGCTTTCAAACCTGTAACAACTTTGCCGTGTACTTAATGCATTGTGTTTAAATTCAGTAGAATTTCACAGTAAGCCTGGCCATTGTCAAATGTGGTTCACGTGATCAAACAGCAGTTTATGCATCTTGAGCCTATTCTCTTCTTCACTGTGTGTTTCTTTGGAGTTAGAATGGCTATAATAGCTTCATCAAAAACGGTCTTCAGTCCTTTCTGCGTTAAAGCTGAACACTCCACATAGCAGTAGGCTCCTATCTGTCAAGAAAATAAGTTAATTCAACAACAGTACATTTCAGCTGTTCAGTTTTAAGTGTGCACTTCTGCGTATCTCTTTTTCTCTAGTGACATCACAATGTTTGGCTGTGATCTAGAAAAGCTACCTGCATGTGCATCCCCCTGTAGAAGAAAAGATTTGTCTTTTGGTCAAAGATCTGGAATGCATTTATGTTGGGTTTGTTTACAAAGGAAGAGTATTAAATAAGCTCTTTGGCCTGCCACTGGAGTCCTAAGGTATTTTTCGATAACTAAACAGCAAAAAAGAATTACAGAATTATGACCAATTTATGTTTCAAAAATAAGACTGTAAGTAAGATCTTTATGTGCATTATCCACACAGTGTGTTAAAACGGTAGTACAGCATGCTCAAATAATTGCTTTAAGATGATTTCAACATTTTGCTAGAGGAGGAGAGGTCCCTTCCAACCTCAACAACTCTGTGATTTTAATTCACTCTTGACCGATGCTTGTGTAGTATTTACAAGTGTCTACAAAGAAACATAGAACCACTACTACCAGGGAAGTGCTATTACACAGGTCTGCTTGTTAGCTGTGTTCAGCAGTGTAAGTAAATATTGTTAACTGATAACCTGTCAGAAGGTTTTCATACATTGAAGTAGTAAAGAAAAAGGCAGTTGGTAATAGGGTTTTTTTGCTTCTTTGCTACTTGCTTTCAGCTAGGAGCTTACCTCTTTAGCCAACTTCTGTCCTTGCTCCACAGATATGGGCTTCTCTTTCATGTCATTCAGTCTTGCCAGAGTTTTTGGGTCATCACGAAGATCAATCTAGCAAGGAAGGTAGCAGTCATGTTGGGATACTTTTCCTCAACAAAAGTCAGCAGGCTATATAATACCCTCTTTTAGACGCAAAAGCATTTATTTAATGGAGTATTGTATGTATACAGATGGAGTCATGCATGATTCAGATCATGGACCCTTCCTGATCCAAAAAGTCCTGAAAGTTTAAGCTGTGAACTACCACCTTTAATCCAGAAGGAACAAATGTATATTCTGTAATTCAGCTCTTTGATAAGATGTGACCATCTTGGAATGCCAGAAGGTACATCCAGCAGTGGCAGAAGGCTTTAACCCAAAGATAATATCAACATGTGGATCACTTTGTAATTGAAGCCCTGTCCACTGGTCACAAGAAGCAGGAGGAAATTATCTCACTTCTTCCTTTGCTCCTTTGCTTCAGCAAATATTGTATATGACCAACAACTGTAGACCCATGTACATGGGTATAAATAGACATATATATAAATATTCCTTAAATCCTCTGACTTTCTAGAAAGTCCCAAGGAGAGATGGAGCCAATTTTGCCACTCTGTTTACACTGAATGTATTTTAACAAAATGCAGGTAGCCCATTAGAGAACACCACAAATCTAGGGTTTCTGCCACTTGCTAGGGTTGTTCTTCCAAAGCCAGAAGCCTGTTGGCCCTGAATTTCCAGCCCAAAGAAAAGGCACCATACAATGATCTGAATTGTTTAAATAAAGTATAACAGAACCAGATATACCTGTGTTCCTACTAGTAAAAAGGGAACATTAGGTGCATATTCCTTCAACTCTGGTACCCACTCTTCCTTCACATTTTGAAATGAAGCAGGGTTTACCACTGAGAAGCAGATAAGGAAGACATCGGTCATAGGATAAGATAAAGGTCTCAGACGATCATAGTCTTCCTAGGAAAGAAAAAGTCTGTTATCTGCAATATTAAATGGTATTTTGTTAATTTTAACAGTTAGGTATAGAAACTCTGTTCAATATTTCAGAAATGTTGAGGCAAACTTTCTGAATGCTTGCAACTCTTCTAGGTTAATCAGCGTGGTTCTTAGAGGGAAATGACATAAATATATTGAAAAGCAGTGTGAATATTAACTTACTTCTGTACCAGAATATACAGAAGACTACCCCTTCAGAAGTTTTAAGTTAATAAAAAGACTTATGGTTCAAACATACTCAAAGGTTAGCACTTCTTTGACCAAAGAGGAATAAGCAGATATGACTGCTATAAAGCCATGCAGATAATACAAAGCTAGACTAGATTAAGGCTAATTAATGCAGTTGAGTCTTCTCCTTTGGATCGTATGTAGAGGTGGTATTTAAGGCCCTCTTAAGAATTTTCTTTCTGTCTCTTAGAAACTTTGCTGTCCTGTTGCTAGTGACTGGGCAAAGTAAGGATCAGAGCGACCTTTTTTATCCAGACTGCTTTCTGTAAGCAAGACCAGCGAAAAGCGGGAAGGAACACTATTAGGGAACACTCAGGATCAAGAACACCATCAGGGGAATATTAATGCCCTTTGGTGGGGGGAAGTTAGTGTGAAAAGATTCTTACTTGAGTCATTTAGAGCCATAACATCTAAAGCCACCGGTCCTACAGCCAGGGCATACAGTACAATACCTAGGAGCATTGTCCCATTGTAAACCAGTTCTCTCTAGCAAAAAAGAAAGTGAATTGCCAGTCAACCAATGCTTTACCATTCCTACCTTTGGCTTTTTTGTTTGGCTGGTTGGTTTTTAACACAGATAAGTAAGACTGAGCTGGTTTTATGCCATCTCTCCCACCATAAACACCAATTTATTATGGCTGCTGCAGCAGCCTCCCTCCTCCCCATGTAAGCTCCCCATCTTAATTAAATCTCACAAATATTGGAACAATTTGTTCATTAAAGGTAGAGACAGAAACAGAATTCAACTCCATGGTTGAATCAAGCCAGAAAATCAAATTTTCATTTCCTTGGCAACAGTCACATTACCAGGTTATTAAACTATAGTGGCACCCTCAAAACAGCCCTTCATTGACTGATAGGTTTTTAAAGATGGTGTCACTAGCATTTCAGAAGACACATGAAAACCTCCTCAGAACAGTTTCTGCTAGGCCCATCTTTTCATTTGAGAGTCAACAGCTATGGGAAGAGGGCCGTTATCCTCATCATGAAATGGAGGAATGACAAGCACTGGAGGAGATTCTGCACTAGCGGGGGGTGACCATTGGCCAGTACTCTTTTAGTGTCAATCTACATGATAACTCGTATTTGGAATCAGTATTCTCATGTGCCATTGTGGTTATACGCTCTCCTGCCAGTCTTGGATGCTTTCCAGTTTTGTCAGTAGGCTAGAGCATACGTGGCTGTAAGCATGGGCTCCCAGTTTCACAACCACAGTAACTGGCACTACTGGGAAACCACAGCATTTGACTGGCCTATCTGGAGATCAGTTGTTCCTGCTAGTGTCAGCCTCCTATCCTGATGCAAAAGAAAACACCCAGGAACCTTGTCTTTTCCGCATCTGTGGAATTCATCATGAAAGGCAGAAATAACTTTAAGAGCATCACAACAGCAACTTGAAACTATTCAACGTTCAGTTCTCTTTTTAGGCATGTATTTTACGTTTCACTTCTACTCCTGAATATAGTTAGGTACTGATCAGGGTTGCCACTCTGTTTTCTGGGTGGAGATTGAAATCCTAAAAGCAGCTTCCCAACTGCAAATTACACTGGTCCCTGGAGTACAAAATCTGCATGCAAGAACACAGAGGCAGATCCGTCAGCTGCTCTTGAATTCAGCTCTGCTAAATCACACATGGGGTATTACTGAATAGGTTTTCTTTAAAGAAAAGATCTAGTTTAAAGTCATAATTCATTCCTGCTACTAAAGAGCTGCCTTTACTACATTCAACGTTTTCTAAAGTCCTCACATCTGGGCTACAATAACAAGAATACTGTCTGCATTAAATGCTGGAATGGAGAAGACACTTCACTGTCACCAGAAATTACTCTTAGTCCATTGGCCTTAAAATACCTCTTCAGTTAATCCATTTGAAATTGCAGATGGACTTTTTATTCATGGCAAATACTAATCAGTTTCTCATCTCAAAGCTTGGTTTACTTCATTTTACTTTATGTTTGTATGGTTTACTTCAAAACTTTTGTATTTATCTTTTTTAATCCCATTGGATATAAATCCTCATCCATTTAGCCACATCTTGGTCCTGCTCCTTACTGCCCACATATTCCTCAGCAATCATCTGGGAGTGAGCAGCGTTACTGCTTTTTAAGGCACGTGCATTGCTGAACTCCTTTCCTGCCCTTGCAGCTATTTATATATCTGCCTTCTGATTTATACCCTGTCCCATCTGCACTGGGCAAATTGTGGGTCTGTCCCCTGTAATTAAGAAGTTCAACTGCAGGCAAGTACAGTGTGACTGGATACATCATGTGCCACGGCCAAAGAAGTACGTGGTATTCACTACGGTGACTTCACACTTACTTAAATTAACAGAGAATTTGGCTGTCCTCACCAGTCCTGCTGCTTGAAACAAGCCAGTGCTGCCAGGCTCGCCTTTAAACCTTTGTCTGTGCTATGAAAATTAGGTGCATATTGATGCTAATAATGGCAGGTAATTCTAATAAAGCCTCCCACCACGTCATCAGACTGGTCTTGGGTCTGCTTAAGAAAAAGCCTGGCTTCACTGTTACCAGCATCTAGCAGGCCACCTGTGCTTAAAGACTCCTCCTGCTCCCCAACAGCCCCTCAGAAACAGCAATCAGACCTAAAACTTCCTGTGATGTACTGGGCCTAAATAACCGCTGCATGGGTAGAAGACTGAAGAAACAAATGCATTTAGACTGAATATTAGAGAAGCCTGGAAAAATCAGACTGCTTCAACTGTATTTGCTGACTCTAGTATGAGGGAAATGAATGTGGCTAATTCTCAAAGTAAATGCAGTGGCAAACCCTAATTATACTAGCCAGTGAACAGAAATCCCAGTTTGGGTGCCTGTACACACCACCCTGTGCAGCAATTAAGACTTCCAGCCTAATTGGGGGAGGCACTGCCTGTATATTTAGGCATTAAAGATATCTAAAGAATTTTACTGGACTATTTTAAGAACGTGAACAAGATGGGCAAGAAGACCACGAAGGATCAAAATGTGCACCACAAGTGTCAAAACCTCCAGGCTATAATGGGGAAATGGCTCATTCTCCAATATACTGTGGACTTTAAAACAGAACTGTTCACCGTTTGCTGAAGCAAACGAATACAGATAGAAAAACATGCTGAAAATACAAGAGCTGTAATAACTTTAAACCAACTGCATGCAAGTATGTTGGCTTAATTAATGCTATATGGAGTTGTGATTCCTCTGCGGCAGGACCTTGCATCATTCACCTAGTATCTCTCTGGTAACCCAGCACAGCTGCCAATACAGAACAGACATAGGCAAGGAGATGAGATGGAGGAGCTACTGGCTTGGCTTAGCTTCTCAACTACAAACTGGGAAGGACTCCTTGGGGTTATTTTTTGGTTTTACTTTGAAAAGAGCAGGACTGAAATTGATACTTTTACATTTTCCTTTTCTTGTAAATATGAGGGCTTGCATCTTTAAGCAAATAGGAGAAAACAAATGCTGGTGTGTCATTAATGTTGTGCAGGGGCCCTGAGCAAGGTGTGTCATGCTCATCTATAGGTATTTTTAATATATTATTTATAACATAATGTAACATAACATTATAACATAATGTTCCATTCTGATGGAACAAAGTAATTAATGATTTTATGTGGTTTGCAGCTTAGGAACAGGATTTCGGTGACAGTCCTCCAGTTACATCATACTGACATACTCTTACAAACAAAAGGAGAAGCCTATTTCTGTTCTGATAAGCTACAAAGTGGATGGCAGCGTACAAAGCTTGGCCCACTGGAAGAAAACTGGAGCTCAACAACTCCAGGTTTGTGATCTCTGTGTTAGCAACCATCTGTTGCTTTCACAGCTTACAACAGCAATCGTAAGAGGAGGTTCTCACTCCCAACCATCTGTTTTTAGAGGGGAAGCCAAAAATAGACATCAGGCAGAGTTGCTAGAGGAATCCAACCTTCACACAGTGAAGGGTAATCCCTGCTGCTGCTCAGAGGGTCTCAGTGAGGCTCACATGTGCAACTAGCTGGTTTCCAGAGCAAAACCCCAGCTGTAAGTCCAAGTTTCAATGCATTTCAGAGCAGGCCATGGTAACCACAGTCAAAAGTCCTCTCTCAATATGAATTGCCATGCTTTCATTTTTGAAGCGCATCTCAAAGCTATCCTTCATGACTGCATTTTTCATAGTTTTCCTCCCTGAAAAAGAATTTCCATTTCAGAAGGCCCCTGGAATATTTTGGACAATGTGAGAAGTGAACCGTAATAATGACTGCTGTATCTGACACCTGCCCCAGGGACTATCAGCTCCCAGTTACCCCGTGGCCCCATCCTCCCGCCTGCCCCAGATTATTTGGCATTAAAGGCTCATGTGCAGCTTTGCCATAAGCACCAGGGAGAGCCTTTGAGCACAACAGCCCATTCCAGCAGCACACCATGAAGCAGCCTTCATTCACCCTGCTGACTCACCCTGTGGTTTCTGATTCTACGAGATGCTTGGTGGAGGAGCAGAGAGAGGGAAGTGGTCTGTCCTGACCCATGCCAAGCACAAATTGCTTCCCTGGCTAAAAACCTCTCCAAATTGCTTCAGTCTGGTCTGTGTAACACTGCAACCCTTTGCAAGGACGGAGGTTGGAGCATCCTGGCGCTGCTTCTCACACGGCACCACTAATGCCAGGACCATTTGGCAAGCTGCAATTCGGACTGACACAGCATTGCCATAAAACGTCTGCTTGTCCAGTTCTGCAGCCCAAGCCCTATTTGTTA